TCGTTTAAGAGAATCGATTCTCAGGTTGAGTGGTGGCTTTTCTTAACGGCCAACCACTACCCGCATTTCAAGAATATTTGACGTCTACCAAAACCCCATCTCACTTTTTTGACATCCTCTTCTCCTTTGAAATGGAATGAAATCAAATCGAGTACCCTTTCGAGTTTCCAAGCGTGGGCTAAATTCTCATGCTCTAAAGCATATCGAATAGTTCTCTAGTATTGATTCGTCATATAAGAAAGTATAATCCAAAAATTTAAACTGATATATGACATGTTATTAAGTAATGTGAGACAATATTTTAACATCATTAATTTTGACTGATAAAAGGAATGGCGCTCATTCGATTCTATGTTAGAAAATCCAACTTAAAAGTCTTTTCGGCATCAATCCCACTTCAATGTAGACACTCAACTACAGCAAAAGATATAGATTAAAATTATAAGATGTTTTTTTTTTATCACTAGCTATATAAGCTTAAAAATTAAGTCAAACAAACATATAACTAAATAAAAAAGTGATGCTCAATAGTGTGACGGCCATGACTAGGGTCGCTTGATGACGGCCGCGACCATGACCCCAAATCCGGTTGCGGCCACGACAACACCAGATTAGTTCGACCCGAGGCCAAAAAAAGATTATGTTTTAGTCCATCATTCCAGGTGATTAGTGGACAAGCACCATCTCATTCCAAGTAATCCGTCTAAACCAAGCACTAATGGTGGATGCATCCTTTCATTTAGAAACAAAAAAGCAAATTCAAAGCAAGTGTCACTTGATCATTAGTATGAAAACTTCCCATGAGATGACATTGCATGATATTCTTGAAAGCCCCTAATATTCTCTATTAGCAAGGCCCGGATGCTTCTTAGCCAAGTCTTTGACTTGGTGCACGGATAACTACTACTCGATCAGTTCAAGCTATATTCTTGATACGCATCATTGGAGCATATCGACATATCTACTCATTGACTATTGCTAGAATAAGCTGGATTCGTCTCCAAGATACGATGCACATGGACCATGATACGTTCATCGAGCAATTTAGACTGCTTTAGGGTCTTCTTTTAGGGTTTTACTCCACGTGAATGCATTGGAGCTGCATAAGTTTTTTGGATGACTAATCGTATGATTTCCTTGCGCACGAGGCACGTACTAACATTGTGGTGGAAAGTTTACATTCTAAGATGATGTACAAGGGAGATATGGATTTTTAGCAAAACAAAAAAGGGGGATATGGATAAAACTAGAACTCTATGTGATGGTGACAAAGCTTCCATATCATCATGATAATGGACAATGTATGAAAATCTTATAAATTGTGCGACCCAAATGTTGAATAAATGGGGTATTTATACTCCAAGGATACTTTAGCTTATATTGCATGTCATTACAAATACAAGAGAATCTGTCCAAAAAATTCTAAGTCTATTGTACGACTGTCAATTCAATTCTAAACTTTTTTATTTGGCCAATGTATTCCTATACCTTTTTACAATTTTCCAATGATGTCCTTCCTACCAATTTTGACCAAAAATCGCTGATGTGGACGATTTTTGCAAATTTCTTTAAAGATTCTACCAATTTCTTTTCCTTTGCTTTTCTTTCCTTTTTCTATTTTCTTGTTTTTCCTATTTGCCTTAGCCTGTCACCGGAACCTCGGCAATGGCCAGCGGAGGAAAAGAAAAGAAAGAAAGAAAGAAAATAAGAAGAAAAAGGATTCAAAAAATTAAAAATATATATAAATTATTCGTATCAGCACTGACCGTGGCATGTAGAATGGCCGACACTAATTGGACCACCATGTCGGTAGTCACTCAATAGTGATTACATGATATCTACAAGATAAAATTTGCAAGATATGCTGACAAAGCATTAATCAGATAAGAGCTGTAAGATCACATGTTTTGGTGTGTATCGGCTAAGCTTGTAAACGAATCCATATCCCATAGACGAAAAACGTACAGTGGCAATATTCCAGATTGATTTCCTGGATACCGCCAAATGCAATCGCTAGAAGACAAAAGCAACGTCGCCCTCGGTTTTATCTATCAAATCTCTCAAGTCTAATATGCTCACCTCTCTTTTAGGTTACACGGGCTCTGCACTTTTGCAGTAACATTTGACTTGGGTTAAGTACAAAGATGATGACCCTGCAAATGATGTGAAATCTATAGCAAAACCAAAGATAAAAACAAAGTGAAAAAATCTCTGAATTATTTAAAAGGGGGGTGTGTCCAATTAGTTTATAGAGCCCTTTTTAAAACGAATAACAGCAGACAAAAGCTAACCACTGTCCTTAGAAAACCTCCCTGGTGGGAAGCAAAGTGGATGTTGCAGGAGTAGAATAATGTGGCCAAAGCCACTAAACACTCGTCAATCAATGGAAGTGAAAAAACACTAAAGTAGGGTTTGAATACTAGGGAGTTTCATTTGATTATGCATTAATCTATATTTTCATGCATTAGACATGGGGTTTATAGAAGAATTGGAGGACCATTGATGTTGGGCTGTGGAAAGTTAAAGACAAAAGTGTATTATTACAGTCCAAAGCGGCTCATCTCATTGACACAATCATGATACCAAAAACAAAAAAAAAAAAACATTGATTTGGATGGGTTCGTGATGCTTCTAAGAATGCATTATTACTAGACCATTCATTTCGTTGCAGATACTGTGATAAGAGTCAAAGGTGCTTGCGGAGATGTGGCCAGTACAACTTGCTGGTGTCATTTTGACTTTTCGATGGCTGCTCCATGAATGGACTAAAAGGTGGGGGAGAACCAAACAAACGAGAAGACAATTCCAATTATGGAACTAGTTCATGATATAGTTTTTGCCCATATACAACGCAAAAATGATTGCCACGAGGAGACGGGACCTGACTAGGGGGTGGCAATTTCTGTCGTGACAAGATAGCATGATTCGAACACGACCTGAAATAAATAAGTTTAAGTTGATGTTAATGATATTTGGGTTATTTTATATCAACCTGCAAGATGCGATTAGTATTCATTGTTCGATTAGGGTGACCTAGAATTAACTTGCATAACCTGTTTAAATTAATGGGTTAATGTTGACAAGATGACAAGTGACCCATTTTGACATGATATACATGACCCATTTCAATACGATTAGCTAAAAGACTATTTTTTTTTCAAGTTATTTACTGTTAAAGTTTAATTTGCTCGTATTTCATTGACCGTGAGCATTTTGTTTAATTTGATTTGATGGTTTTTCATTGATAGATTATTGCAATTTGTAAATAGATTTTTATGAAAAAACTGAGGATGTTTTGTGTCTTGTTCGTGTCGACGGGTTGATTTTGTGTCATGGTGAATTATGCAATCATGTTGACCCACTAGCCTATTACTTAGTCGTGTTACACGGCTCGACGGTCGTATCATGTCGACCCCTTTAATTTTCAGGTCATGTTCATATCACATATCGACGCAATTAACTAATCATGTCGTGTTGGGTTGACATGTTTTGTAGCATACCCTCGTGTTGATATGACACTAACGGAGTCTGCCAATACACATTGCCATTATTAGACCTTACCCATGGTCCTTTCCCATCTCTTAAGGCCGTCCCACGCAGCTTTGGATGGACATCGCTTGCTAATTATAACATTCACTTAGGAATGGCAATGAGCTTGGGTTACCAAGTCCAGAGGGTTTATAGATAAGTTTCGGATTGAGAAAGAAGTTCGGCAAGTGTCGTGTCAAATCCATCCCGCTACCATTTCTAATTCCACCTCCTCTCCCTCTCTCCCGCCTCTATGTTTCCGACTCATAGCAACCGAAGCCACTTCTTTTTAGTCTGATGTTAATTTTCACATGACACGCATCCAACGATAATGCTGTATAAAGGGACGGGAGGTGGGTATGAAAAGCAGATTTGGGCCCGCCTCCCGATTTCGCCTTACTTTCAACAACCGCTTGCTGACTGTTCAAGTACCAAATCATATCCTACTTGACTTTCAAGTAATAATGGCCCCGTGGTCAAATTTCTAGACTTATGTTGCTTCGCTATTGAGATCACCTTCCATTTATCGTGCTTACAGTGTTGATTTGAAAGCTTTAAGCTCTTGACTTGGTCTGGTGGCTTTCTCATAGTTCAACACTTACCCTACTTCTTGACCCTTTTATGAAAGCAAGATTTGACTTTGTCCTCTACTCCATCAACCTTTCTCCTCCCGTATCTCACTGAAAAGTGACCTCTGATTATGGGCTTTTTGAAGTTCAAGAGTTGAAAAGAAAGCCCAAAGATGCAAACTACTCCATTATGGGCTTTGGATGGACATAGCTTGCTAATTATAACATTCACAGGACGATCCATGCCAAGTTGAAAGACCAACTCACTCTCGAATGATCATTGTCTGATAGACTTCTTGTTTTTCTTTTTCTTGTTTGGACATGTCTTCGATCGGCTCGAAAAAGTACAAAGTCGTGTGAGTCACCTGCGAATCATAGGATGAACGCCCGCGCACCATCGAACTGATTTGCCCAATGTCCAGAAACAAGAATCCAACCACAACTCGGCTATGCTGAAAGGAAAAATGGGAGGAAAAAGAAACGAGATTGGAATAGGAAAAGGTTTAAACCTGGAGATTATTGCCAGGTACACAGTTCAGAACACAAATGGACAGTCGTTTTAGCCACTACAGCTTCAAAGCACACTTAAAGCAGCAACGTGGTGATGTTTGCAATCCAAGCTAGCGTTGAAAAGGCTAACATTAATAATTTTGCCACCTACTTGGCCACCAAGAGGTTAATGGCAAAAGCATGCCGACTAGATAACGCTATATCTCAAGGGCTTTTCTTATGACCAGAAGGCAAAACAGGAGACATCAAATTACTCAAACTCTAATTGGTGTCACTACACGACCACTTTCCATGTAAAGAACATGTTCGTCTAAGTCCGCCAATGTACAGTGGTGCCAATGTACAGTGGTGTGCCGAGATGGGTAGAAAAGAACTACATGAAAGACAGGCGGATTGAACATAAAGCTATTCTAACATTAACATTCTGATTCTTTACAACTATTGCCAACAATCTGATAATATTTGCACAAAGCAACCTAGCACAAGTTAATGTTGATTTCTACATCTTTACAATGAAACACCAAGAATATAGAAGAAGACTAAATAAGGCTGACGACCGCTATGGACTACGCTATCAGTAAATATAACCATGCCATGGTGCGGACCATGGATTCCACGTCAAGGTGAATCTCTACCAAATGCTTTTTTCTTCTTTTGGGCTACAGATTGCAGATGTTGCATCTCCACTAACACACGAAGTGAAGGATGAGAGGATAGAGAAGCAAAAAAACAGCTTAAAAATAAAACATTCTTAGGCAGCTGCTAAGGATTAAGCACCTCTTTGTCGCTTTTTCCCTGACTTTGACCCACTTCCCGGTACTTTGGATGGGACCGACTTCTCTTCGTTAGTTTCAGTTTCTGCAGAATCTACCGAGTCATCGTCTATCATTCTCTCTTTCACCTTCAATAAACCAGACTTTAGCTTGTCAGATCCATTAGACTTCAACTTCTCAGGCTTTTCACTACTCTTGAGTTCACTGCCCCTAGAAGCAATCTTTGAGCCTTTCTTAGCTTTTGTGGTCACAGAGGATTCTTCCCCGGACTTTGTCGCAACATGGGGGCTGCTAGGGTCTTCATCCTTGAGTTTGCCAGTCTTAGATGTCTTATTCAATGCAACACTGCCAGATTTAGAACCATTATCACTGGTGCGATCCTTAGATTTACCAATACCATCTTTCTCGAACTTGCCATCAGAATTATTCCCTCCCTTAGATTTTTTGCCAGATTTTGCGGAACCAGCATTGGATTTGCTAGAGGAAGCATTGCCCCTGACAATTAAAAATCCAAAATTGATTAGAAGTAGTATTACGACAGAAAGGCCTCAGACAAAGATATACTCACGTCTTCGCTGAAGTTTCTGTTTTCCCTTCCTTCATTTTTGCCCTCTTCTTAAGAGGCCTAGTCATAATAGTCAAAACAAACAAGAGAAATTAGAGACCACCTCACTAGATTTCTCAAGAAATACGAAGTAAGAGGAAGAGATGTGACAAAATGCGCGTTCGTGAACTCCATAGTTAAAAAATGAGGTATGTTATAGAATCTCTAAATTTGCTTTGCTTGTAAACTAATGATTCAACACAATAAAGTCCTAAAAAAAACACATACAGTTCCGGAGAAGCATCAGGACTTCTGCCATCGCCTTCTTGCCCCTGTTGACAAAAAACATCATGTCAAATCCAGATGAAGAGATCCGCGATGAGATTTAACCACACAGGCAAATTGCAGACCCGATACGATACAGAGTTGCCTTCAACGAACTCCCACTTTTGCTTTTGGAGATTCAATATCTCTTGATCACCATCAGTATACAAAACCTGTGTATACAAAGGAATCCATTACATTTTAGACAGACAAAAACTCTATTCATATGTGAAAGAAGTGAACAGGCACAAAATGTGTCGAAACAAACAGAGAAAATAGAACTCAACATCCTTCACATGTCTTACCTTATGTCTCTTTCTAACAGGGTCAAAAGAATGCACAACACCTTCATAGAATCTGAAACATTTCCACCAAATAAAAATCAGAAAAAGCTATTAAATGTGACTCAAATCATAGCTACGCAGATAACTTTCATGTCTTTCTTTCTCTCTCTCAAGAAGGTAAAAATTCAGAGATCTGGTCTTACGCTCGATCTTGAGGCCACCACACTTTGATTTTGGAACCAACCAGGTCCTCGCCATATTCTTTCGCATCAGATGCCTGATGATCAACCAGTAGACATCTAACATTAAAAGGTAAGACACTAGTTCCAAGGATTAGGCTGAAGGCACTACAGCAAATGATAGGACTATGTCCAAAATTTAAAGTTGTAGTCCTCCAATTTAATCATAAAAACAGAAGATGCACGAATCATCATCTCCATCTCTGCATTTGTTTCTGAATGCACCACAATAGAACTAAGAGAAAAACCAGTTACAATTGATACCCAAAGGTCAAAATGGGCTAGGGTGAGGAATTACATTCTCCAAAAGTAATTAACACATCTCCAAACATCCAAATTAAAAACTTATGATGAGAAGTTTCAAAAAGATGCAAAGGAAATCGAAGTAAAATACACATGAGAACCCACGCACCTCTTTTCCCAGAGTGCGCTTCCTCTTTGAACTATCCTTAGGAGTCTCATGGGATTTTTCATCACCTCCGCCAGCTTTCATGGCAGACTTTGGTGAAGCAGCACCTTCCTACACGATGTCAAACCAACCTTCACCATTTTTAAAGTTGAGAATACCAAGCACGATAAGAAACAGAGAAATATTCTAGATGACACAAAAAGTTTGTTATCATCACTTACAGCAGATTTTCTTAAATCCTTTTCAGAGGCCACTTTTCCTTTTGCAACGCCTCTCTTATCCCCAGAACGTTTTGTGGAAGATCCATCGTCAACATTGGTGCTCACAGAAACCTTCTTAGAAGAATTCTTCAGTGATTTTGCCTCTAAATCACCCATAGCAGCATTTTCCTTCCGCAATAATTTTAGGGTAATTCCAGTTTTAATATCCTCAGATGATCCCAGGGATGTATTTCTTCCTGTGTTTGTATGTGGTTTTACTTCCTTATCACTAGTTCCTTCCTTTTTAGATATGTCAGCAGCAGGACCTGTGACCTCCTTAGCTAATTCTTGTTTCTTCCGCCTTCCACCTTTTCTAGAACGACTCTCATCAGGTTGACCTTGATTTTGGGATGGGGAAGCAACACTCATAGATTCATCTCCAGCAGGTTTTGGGGAAGAAGGGTTAGCAGCAGTTTCCTTTTCACTTTCTGAAGGCGAATATTCCGCAGGTGAGTTGTCATGGGGTGAATCAGGAATTGTTTGGGAACCGTCAGGAGTTGCATTTGATTTTGTACTTGAACCAGGTTTCCTTCCTCTTCCCTTCTTCTTTTTTCCCAGCTTACTTTCTTTCTTAGCTACGTTCGCACTATTCAACTTGACTATGTTGTCATTGCTTAGTGCTTTAGTATCTTTAGGTGGACTACTGCGAAGAGCATCCTCATGCTTTCTATTGGAGATAGAATCCAATTCTGCTTTTTGCGTGGCACCATTACTGATCACTGATTTTGGAGATCTTCCAGAAGCAGGACTGACTAGATGAGAAGCTTTTTCTTTATTCACCTAACCATGTATACATTCAAGAAATACTCATAAATTATTTTCAGACGCAGTTTTAGCCAGATATACTGAAACAACAGAAAATTACACTCAATAACATAAAAAAAATGTGTAAAGCACTCATGCTTTAAAGAAATAAAAAGAGTGATGCATTAAAGGCAAGGTTTAGGAAGAGGTTTAGGCAGTGTTTGGCCGTAAAGAAATCTTTTGGATTTGGTATATCCAATACGTTGTTGGTGAAATAATTGGATATAAAGCAGAATAAATAAATATCATATCCAACTAATATTCGATGGAATCAAAGAAAAGGTGAAACAAAAAAAATAAAATCTGGACACCCTGGAGAGAGAGCGAGAGAGCGAGCGAGAGATCTTACGACAGGCACCAGGTGCTCTGAGGAGAATCGAAAAGGGAGATCGCAGATAAAGAGAAACACAGGGTGAGAGAGGGAGAGAGCACCACGAGGGGCGGTGGCTCAAGGACGGCGACCACTTCACAATGGTCTACTGAGAACAAAGGGGGTCCTCGAGGAGAAAGAGGGTGGTGGCGACGACCTTCTCACGGCATCTCTCTCTCTCTCTCTCTCTCTCTCTCTCTCTCTCTCTCTCTCTCTCTCTCTCAGCAGCAAAGTCTTATTTTTGTTATTATCTTTTTTTAAAAGATTCCTGTCAACCTCCCCAGGTTTATCACACCCCTCAAGTAGGATCATTATATCTGGATATATCCCATCCGCAGACACCATTAAACACCAAATAAAATAAATAATTCACCCACCAAACTCAGCCTTAGGATATTAAGGATTAGCCTGGACAGCCTTTTTTCAACCTGCTATCGTAAGATAAGGAAAAACCATGGGATCCTAATTGCACTAATACTCCTCGGCAAACAACTTTCTTCTCTAGACGGTACGTACTTAGACGCAATAAGTTTGATCAATCAGGAACTCCTACGCAGTAGAGAATATGCACTATTTATACTTCACATACAAGTACTCTTAACACATAGCAATATTCATCTAGAATAACGAGATACAATGAACTAGATTCGAAGTTGATATATAATATAGATAAGAGGACATATGAGTGACCTGGGGCAAACCTTGTGTTCGCTTGCAGCGTGGTTGTTATTCTCTTCAACTGCAGCACTTGCCTCTTGATATATTGAAGTAATTACATTACTGTATTCATCTATAGAAGTTCCAAGGGCTTTCAATGCCTGGCAAAAGTAAGGCTGCAGCTTCGACGCACAGTTCTTTAGTACCGTCTCTCCCAATTTTCTAGCAATAGGTAGAACTTCCTGAAAAAACAAATTCAGAATCAGATAAGCAGAAAAAACTACATGCATGGTGTTCTCTACAGTAGGGACGATCCACCTTGTTATCACTCTTTACACTATCTAAGACGGGCGATAGCAGATCTGGAGAAACATCTTCACTTTCATCAATGATGAGGGTCATTATTGTTTCCATTGATTGGAAGACATGATCCGGGTGGTAGTCCCTGACAATTGTCCATCAGAAATCATTACACATGCATACACGCAGAAGAAAACTGCATGTAGCTTCAAAATGTCAGCAAAATCAAAGATAAATGAACTCCAAAGTTGCAAGTACTTTCACATAAATAACAAGCCATTTAGAATTCTCATTATGGATAGAAACGTGCTCAGATAGATGCACGAAGTCACAAAGAGAGACCCTAAACAATGACCAAACTAATTCAAACTAGAGAAAGCAAAAACGTTGCACATCTCTAGGTAGGTCAGAAACATTGTGACTGTCAATTTAAAAGGTCAAATCATTAGATATAAAATGCAAATCTCCACCATTATTTTCAACTAAAAGGTTTTTTAAAATTAGCATTGAAGAAAAAGAGGGATTCCCATCCTTTTCTTACTTTCTTTATAAAACAGAAATGAAAAGAATGGCTCCAATCGAGAAAGGAGAAGGAAGCTTAAAAATAGGAAGAGCTACCACTATTGTTTCTGAGCTTTCATTGGACAAAACCCCTTTGTCAAACTATCCAAAACGACACAAGAACACTACAAATCCCAAGAAAAAATCACACGCACAATAATCTAATAGGAAGCACAAGTACCAATCCAACTCTTTCAACGTCATTCACAAAATGGCATGTCTATAAGTGGAATGTTATTATCTTAGAATAAGAGCTTCCACCCCACCATATCACTCTGCAACATCATATTGCACCACCGAAGCACGTCCACAATATCAACAAGAATCTCATACATATAATGCAGACTCACTTATCTGGTAACTAAAAGTAAAAAGACCGATAGGAAGAACAACAACCAGCTTATAAGGGTAACTTTTCAATGAAGAAGAAAAATAAATGAGTATTCCTTTTCAAGAAGAACGATCGACTGAGTATTGATTATACCTTATTGAGTTAAGAAGATGCTGGAACATTTCGACAACCAAAGCATCACATTCGAGGTCCAACATCACGACACACGATCTGACTTTGGCAACGGTTTCAAGGATTGAGGCTCTCCTCGTGTAAGATCTGCTAGACTTGTCATACAAATTCTCAAAAGAGGATACAATCAACTGAAAAACTTCCTGCATAATAGCATTGTGCAAAAGCAAAAACCATCATAAACACAAAGGAAGTATAATAGATCATACTAGAATTCACGGTTATAGGAGTCCATAACATAAAATCAACAGGTTCACGCCACCTTCATTTGATCATCATCATAGGGAGCTTCAGGAGCAGTAATTCTGGTAATTTCACTGATGCATGAGGCAATGGCAACTTTAACATCAGCATCAGAATGCCTAAAAAGCTGATCAGCTACTAATGCCTTCAGGGATGGAGAAAGAGCATCTTGCATAGATGTGGTTGGCGATTGTTCCACTCTTGATAAACAACTTTCAAGCTCCTACACTCATTAAGGAGACAAACAAAGTTAACAACAATTTTAGAGATATTCATAGAGAAATACTTGGGAAGTTCAAGATCCCAAAGCAATGATAATGCAATTGTCAATTTCAATGAAAATGTTCTCGACATGCTAGACGAATTAAGTAATATCTATCACAGGGAAATATCATGAGCATTTTAATGGACCTAAACTCTCTCCAATACATATATACTTATGCTAGAGAATTTCTACTTGAGCAACAATTCTCGCCCTGCATTGATAAGTAGCATTTTTTGTGCATTTGTGATATTTTTGCCTATAGATGATGGCTGTGAAAAATGGTCACAGAAACTGGTTATTGAGGGGAAATATCATGCTTTGAAACCAATCTTTGATTTTTCACAATTTTCTTCACATACAACCATAAAGCAGTGAACTCCCATATTGTGACAATAAGCAGTATGGGCTTCTGTTTTTGACGTATTATTTTCTGGTTCATCCTATAACAAACTAGTTATGCACGACCATTTGTAGATCAAGCATTGCTGCTAAGAAGCAAGCATTCATTAAGTCTTAAAGGAGAATGCTTCTTATTTAAAGTGGATACATCTCTCCACTCAAGATTCCAACATCCAGAAGCTTGGGTTCTTTTCTTCAAGCGGCAGGGGAAGCCCTCAAAGCCAGGCTCTTCACACAACACTGACGACAAGTACTCCTTTTCACGTCATCAAAGCAGTAACCATTTCTAAGGACTACATGCCACTATATTCAACACAACAAGTTATACATTGTTATGGTGTCTCACAACACCCATTACTTCTTGGCTGGTTTAAACTATTCTGTTATAATGCATTTGCAGTCTACAGGAAAATATATATACGTAATTTGGACATTGATTAGAGCAGAACAGACATGCGTGCATTCTCATATCGCACAAATCACCAGATGGAAGAAAATCGTACTGATCCCAACAAAGAAATTCGTATCAATAGCTACACGACAATAACGTAATAAACACAGACTGTGAGGCATAAAGACAGCTCATTTTACGTTATTTTCACAATTTCGGACACTCAACAACTTCCCAAGAGTTTCGACTTCGATGCAGATTTAACCAATGCCCGACGAATTTTTGTATTCTCACTTTTGAATCTCAAAGTATCAATTGTATATTGCATTAAGCAAATATCATGATCCCTAAACCTTAGCCGCGCACATAACAACGTATTGGTTCAAGAGAAACTCAGCATTCTCAATCAATTCCAATCATAACTAAACAATCCAACAAAGCCTATTTTTGCATTCCAGATCAGAACAAAAGATTAACTGTCCCCAGTTTCTATCTACACTGAATGAAAAGAGATGATTGATAGTCCAAGATAAAAATTCACAAACTTCAATTTCATATGATGCAAATGATAAATTTAAATGAGCAAGCATCTACACACATCCTGAAAAGCAAAGAAATGCAATTGACAGGCTGAGGATATCCCAGTTCCCTCCTCCTGTACAAAGTCATCTCATACAGAATTGACCTCCACATCTCGCGCCTTCAACCATCAGCATTAAGAGGAAATCCTCACTGAACATATGGCTCGGACGCTGATTATATCCTTGCAAGCACCAATATCCATTCGGCAGAACCAATGCACATAAGACAAGTTCGAATCCCATCAGACCAATTCTCCTAAAGTTAGCACCTTTCACTTCCAACATACATGCTCCGATGCACAAGCTCCGATCTTTTCTCTTAATGCACGCACATACACAGGTTTCGCGCGGAAAAATTCTCGTGCGGAGGGCGACCAATTGCAAACGAAATCAAATCCTCTCTACTCAATCAACTGGAGAACTGCGAAGCTCTCTCGTCAAGGAAGCAATTTTACGATCGAAACAACCGGATGCCACTTCCACTTAGCATGAGCGAGACAGACTAGCGACCCCATGAAAATCAACCGTACAAGAGAGGCATGTAAATTACTCAAACCAATCTCAAAACCCACATAAGGAAAAACAGACACCCCCGCAAAAATCCTCGCACGCCCCTCGTCGGAAACAACCGAAAAAAACGGAACTTTTCCCCCGGGAAAAAAAAAAAAGAACAAAAAACACAAAACCAAAACCAAGCCGGAAATTCACTCGCCTCGAGCAGCGGCATGAGCTCATCCACCGACGACGGTGGCTCCAGCAGCCTAGTCCCCGCCTTCGACACCCGCTCCTCGAGCTCCTTATCCGACATCGCGCCGCCAACCGGACGAAAACTCCCGTATTCCCCCCGCACACCCAGATCTCGCAGGGCCTCACTCACCCGCGTCGAACCCACCGCTCAACATGGGAAGCAGGAGGAGGAGGAGGAGGAGGCAAAAGGGTATGATTCCACCGGGAAGAAGAAGCGGGGAGGGAGGAACTAGGGTTCTTCCGGACAGGAAAAGGGGTCGCGGCGGTGGTGGACTTCTTCGGACCGAGGAAAAACGGGCGCAGACAACAACAGTATTGACTAAGGTTTTCACGAAGAAGCAGAGGAGCAGGAAGAAGAAGGTGGAGGAGTGAATTAGAATTCGAAGGGCGTGCCCCCCCCGCCCAACAATGTCGTCGTGTCTTTCGATTTGCTCGGAGGTTTTTCTCCCCGATTTCGTGCCCCTTTTCGAAAGAGCGAGGGATCCAGTAGGGCGCGGACCTGGCGGGGATTTATGGAATGGAGTTGAATTCGGGCGCTCGCACCCGTCCTAGTTCCCACAACTTCCAAAGATATAGAGCGATGATGGTCGAGAGGGGAAGAGGGGATATGCTCCTTCGTTATGGTCCATCGGAATATGAAAAATCCTATCTTTGTTCGTAACCGTCGAGTCTCGATGGAGTAGATCTCGACCGTTACACGAGAGCTTGTCTAAGCCTTCCGTATGTTACACGAGCAATGAAAGAGTAGCCAGCCGGTGATCTCCGCCGTGGACTGCATGCCCCGGAGGAGGAGCGCCGCTTGAAGCCCCGCGAAAGAACGGAGGGAAAAATGCTGGCACGGCACCGCCGCGTGTCCACGTTTCTCTCTCGTTGACTGGTGTTATCCGATGAAAATCGGAAAGAAGCCGGACTTACCAAGATCGATTTGCATAAAATTTAGTCTGCAGAATGATGCGTTACGCCATCATCAGTTATTGAATACGACTCGCTCGTTTAAAAAGGTCGCTTACAGATATCGTGTCGTTTAATAGAATAAACCATTGGCATTACTTAAAAAAGGCTGTGAAGATTAATAAAATTCCATAAAACACGGATTTGGGGATATCTTAATTAAATATCATTTTATCCAATTTCTTACTTACCATAAACATTTAAATCCGTTACTTAAATATGTATACATAAGAGGTCGCTCAAACTGGTACACATACATCATATTCACCCCAAACTAAATTTCGTACTAAAAAAATCTCAAATTTGTACATTCGTGCCAAATATGTTAGTATTAGGCACACAAGCACAACGAAATAGAGAGTAAAAGCGAAAAAGAGGAATCGAGTTTATCTAGGTTCACCTTTAAACTAAGGCTACATCCAAGAAAGAAATCCATTGTATTAGCACATCACGCATATATCTTACAACCCATAATTACAAGGGAAAGAAATTATATATACTCGGAAGCTATTATTAGGTACAAGCCCAAACTATCAATAAAATATAGGTCCAAATTATAAAAGCCATATGGCATCCGTGCCTTTCTATCGCGGGGAGTATGAATCACGCTCCAATAATATTTACTCTCAATTAGTTTCCATTTAGTATCCCATTAAAAATCTCAATTCATTTTCTTCTTCGGATTTTACCTTCCCAAAGTGATGTCATCTAGAGACTATTTATATTGAATTTCCATGTTACCCACCAATCATTTGAGTTATTTGCCACATGTGTTTTAACGTAAGTAATTTATATGGATATTGAAAAGAAGCTAACGGAATGTAGTTTTGTTAATGATATATCGGTTTGGAATTTTTCATGGCAGTAAAACTCCGTTTGTTTCGTGAAAAATTTGAATTTTTTGAAAAATATTTTCCACAAAGTCATTTTTCAAGAAAATGATGATATTTTCCGGTGTTTGGTTGAAATTTAAAAATGAATTAGAAGATATTTTCCGCCGTTTGATATGAAATACCTGATTTGTTTCTTGGGAAAAATTACCAAAATAATTCAAAATTTATAATTTATAATTTTTCTTTTATTATTATTTTACTTGGCCAGTGGCCGGTGGCGACCGACCACAAGCAAGGAATGAGCTTGCCTAAGGCCGACGAAGCTCGAGCTTACCAGATTCCGACGAGTCAAGCCGAACCGTGCCAGCCTCAGCTCCACCTCGCTACATTTGGCAAGTCAAGCTTGAGCTTGCCACAACCTGTCGACCTCAGGGGACCTCGACCTTGAACCTCGTCGGCCTTGGGAGAGTTTGTCCTTCACCTGTGGCCGGTCAGTAGTTAAGGAAGATGGAAAAAGAAAAAGAAAGAAAAGAAAAAATAAATAGAAATTCAATTTTTAAAAAAATATAATTTTGTTATAACAATGAATATTTCATTAATTAAGGATCCAAGTTTGAGCGCCGAGGACTCACACTTTGCCTTTGTGAACCCAGGCCTGAGTACCAGGGACTAGAGCTCGAGCATCAGGAACCCAAGCATTGCATTTATGGACCCGAGCTCAGGTGCTGGGACATCAGACACGGGTACTAAGGTTTTGGGCCCAGCCTTAATAGACCCAGGTGTGAGCGCCGAGGCACTAGGCCTAGACATGGGGTCCTAGGCTCGGTCTCGATGGACCCAGGATTGGGCGCCGGAGACCTGGTCTTGAAAGCCGGGATCCGAGAATCAGCGTTGGGCTTTTCATACCTAAGCGTAGAGTTTTGGATCTAAGTACCGACACCTGGTAATATTTTCAATCTTCTTCTCCTTTGCTGGGATTTCTATTAATTAGGAAAATATTTTCCGTTAACTCATTCAAACGCCGGAAAAATGGTTGCGAAACAAATGAAACCCTAATTTACACCCAATTTTTTTCCCGGGGAGAATCATGGAAAGTGGAGGACCCGTCATTTTGACCGAAGACTTGGATCCCAGGAGAGGCAACATAACTTCCTCCTCTGGCAGCCCTCCACGTCGTCCGCCCTCCACGTGTGCACCCCTCATTGGCCACCCCAACGTCACCACCTCCTCTCTCCCCTTCCTCGTCCTCTTCAATCGTCCTGACCTCTCTCCTCTTTCTGCAAAACTCCCGAACAGGCGGAAATCCAGAAGAAGAAGCAGCAGCCCACCATTGCCATCCACGATCGTCGCTCCGAAACCCTAATTCGCTCTGGATCGAACCGTGGCTCCTCCAGGAGCTCCGACAGTCTCCCGCCGAAGACCCCACCACCCCCAATCCTCCCCTTCCTCCGCCCCCCCGCCGCCGTCCTCGTCGTCGCCGGCGACCCCTACGAGGATCATCTACCGAGAGTCCGGGCCGAAGTCGGACTTCCCGTTCTGGCAGCAGAACTGGTTCATCGTCCTGCTGTTCGCGATGGCGATCGGGTTCTTCGGCGTCGCCCTGTTCCTCTTCCTCGGCCTCGATTTCGATCAGGGCTCGCCCTCCCCTGCTTACGCCGCCTCATCGGAAGGCGTCGAGGTAATGATTGCCCCCGGCCGTTTGGTTCTCGCTTCTGGGTACTGTGGGGATTTTGTTTGCTTTGCTGAGATGGGATTCGATTGAACCGAAAGTTTAGATCTTGACGTGTTCGAGAAATGGGAAGTGGTTCGCGCTGGCGGGACTTTGAACTGCTATACTTGAATGAGTATTCGTTTTAACTCCTACGTTATTGGCGTCCTGTCGAGGTGCAACGGGATGGAATTTGCTCGAGAAATGTAGAGGAACAGGCATAGATTTAAGAGGATACCTTGAATTCTATTTAGTTAGTTTCCTGATGGGGGTAGTTCTAGCTGTCTGCAGTGGTGCAAATGATTCTTCTGTTTTTGATCTTAATCGCATGGACTCTGCTCTTTTCTTTTTTTCCATTCTATGAAGGAAGAGGAACCAGCAAGTAAAGTGATGTTCTGATGCTTATTTTGTTGGTTTTCAAATGGGTGGTTGAGGCTATAGGAAGAGGTTTATTTGGGGATCCAAATTTTTGTGGAATCAACTTTGTTTTCGATTGGGTTTGCTAATCCTAAGTCTTTTGGCAGATAACGTATGGGACAGTTCTCAAGCTAATGCATGAGAAGACAAAATTTCGGCTTCATTCCCATGATGTACCTTATGGTTCCGGCAGTGGGCAGCAGTCTGTCACTGGGTTTTCTGGTGTCGATGATTCCAATAGCTACTGGGTAGACCGATCTTTCTGTTTGCTTGATAGTTGATTATCTTCTGTGGTACACGTAATTTGAGTAATGTTGAGATCCATCCCTTGTGCAGGTTGTTAGGCCTCAGCCAGGTACATCAGCTAAACAAGGAGATCCAATCAAAAGTGGGACCATCATTAGGTTGCAACACATGAAGACTAGAAAGTGGTTGCACAGCCACTTGCATGCATCTCCAATATCAGGGAACCTAGAGGTTAGTGCTTATTTTGGCCCTTGAAGATGCTCTCTAGATTTCCCTCATAAAAGAAAAAAAAGAGCAACTTGCTGTGTTGTCCTGACATTGTTCTGTATATAGTTCTTATTCAAGTGAAGTCTTCTTTTGCAAATCTTATTCACACTCTAGAATGTGCTAGAGCCTTGCATGGTAGCTAAGGGAACTAGCTTGAAGGGGCTTGTTTGCTTGGGTATATAGAGAAGGAGGATACTGCTGTATATTCTTTCAACGACGTTTTGGTGGTCCTTCTAGTGTGATGATAAGTGTTCAATTCTTTTATGGTCATATTTGATTTGTCCAACCGACATAATAACAACTTATCTCTTGGAATGTTCATTAAGCAAGTAGTCTTGTTAGCGAGAGTTTTGCTCAAAGTTATTTATGATCTGTCTGAACCTTTGCCATAATTTGGACAGACAGCAGTTTAATTATATAAGGCTAAATTTCATTTTGTTCGTGCTCACCTTTTACTGGTTGTTGTGTTTTGGAGAATATTTCACAGTGAAATGTAGAGCACACTGTTTGTGCTTATTTTGCCATATATGCGTGCAACTGACACTGCGGAGTTAATTGATGTACCCTGAGATAGTGAAACTGTTAGTTGTGGGGTTTCTTATAATGAGAAGTTTCCTGTTTGGTGTAGGTCAGTTGTTTTGGAGGAGAGACTGAATCTGATACTGGAGATTATTGGAGGTAGGACCGAGTAGGAAACTTTGTTTTTATACGGCCCCTTTCTTCACTATGTTCTTAGGATTTTTATATGGCGGACATATTCTACAGGCTTATGATTGAAGGTACTGGCAAAACTTGGAAGCAGGAACAGAGGATTCGACTCCAACATGTGGATACTAGTGGCTATTTACACAGTCATGACAAGAAATACCAGCGTATTGCTGGGGGCCAGCAGGAGGTAAGAGCAGAACTGCGTTTTTTCCCTTATTTCGTTTTCTTCCATGTTACATGATGGAAACCGAGAGATGTCACAACACATGGAATGGGACACAGAAATACTTCATATAAAAGAATGATTCAAGTATACTGCTTTCCTGGCTTGTAGGTGGATAGCATGTCTTAATAGAAGTATTGTATAAGCACCTGTCTTTGAAAAGTTCTACCTATCCACAAATGTATTCCTCCCTGTGGGTGCGCATACTTGCGTGAGATGGACATATTAAATGTTTGGAATTTTACTTTCGTATGGGATGCTCTCTTTCTCAAAACAATTTGTGAGCAACATTGGTTCGTTTCTGCAGGTATGTGGTGTCCGAGAAAAGCGGCCTGACAACATTTGGTTGGCGGCAGAAGGCGTTTATCTTCCAGTTACAGAAAGCAAGTAGAACACTCCCATCAAGCCGACGCATATTGGAGGACTCTCACTTTAGCCATGCGTTGACATCTAAGGAATATAGTTGGATGGACTTAGACTCGTGCCGGTACACCTTAGCCGGTGCCTTCCTTCTATAATAGCAAATTGTAGACTTGAGCTCCTTAAATGAAGAACATCTCAGGGTATTATACTTGAATGCCACTATCATCGATTTTGGTCAATGCATGTAATCCTTGTTTCTCAATTATCATGGCTCATATTTTCGTTCTGTAAGCATATATGAGGGAAGATACGGTGCATGGTGTTTGTGCTGGGCGACATACGATAAGTAATGGCAGGCCATGGGCCATTTTGGGCCATTATGATTTCGCTCAACCGGACCTTTGTTGTTCATTAGGGGACGTAGAGGAAGTGTAAAACGTTGTTTGGAAACACTTTAATAAAGTCGAAGTCAAGCTTGTCACAATGCCTAGTTTCTCGGGAACTTTATCTTGGTTCGTTGAAGTCCGTACCAACTACGGTCCTAATTAATCAAATCTTTGTTGATTCTAAAACTGTATCTAAGCTTGATCTCGGCCTACTTCTGTTACCAGAAAAAAGAAGAAGATAGAAACGTAGTATTGAAGGCTATGTTTGGTAGCTAGCATAAAGTCAAGAAATTTCCTCTTATCTGGTATTTTGGTTGTTGCATAAGATAGGATAAAACTGGATAAAAGAGGGATTAGCCTGGATTAAAAAATCCCATGTGGGGGTGGAATAAAAATGGATAGGAATGCCTATATCCGTGGTATACGCCGACCATTGCCAGTCGTCATTGCTGGCCAACCTATCGCTTTCCCCTACTGGAGCTTCTTGATCAACATCTCCACCTTCGCCCGTATTTGGTGCGATGGTGAAGCTTCAATTCATTGTCCCTTCTTATTCATAACTTGAGCTTTCTCTCCATTACATATGCATCACCTGTAATGAAAAATTTCCACCTTTTTCGCAGTCCCTCACTCACTCTCGAATTGTCCTCATGGAAATCGAAAGAGTTGAGACACACACTATCTTTTGCTTCGATTCATCAATAAAAATATGATGTGTTCATGACCTTTAGAGGCGAGGAGATCGAGATGGAAGGCAAGGTGAGGCAATGGCACGGCGAGGTGGGGCGATGTCACTGGCGGCTTGAAAGTGGCGGCGGAAAGCAACTGTAACATTGGGTTGATGACAACAGCGCAGAGATCGAGAGGCGAGAGAGGAGTTTGTGTTACGTCCACGTTCTATCGGACATACACCAAATACTATATAAGATATTACAAATATCATTATTGCCCCATCCGACCTTATCCTATTTCACAAAAAAGCCCTGATGACCAGATGCAAGTATAGGTAAATCCATCTTTCCTAAGAAAGACGAGCCTTGAGGTGATGGAGGGGATGTATGCCTAAAGATTTCTTTCGACAAGTGACTTGGCACTCTCTAAAAACAAACACCGTGTCTCTTTCATATTTAAGAGGAAGTTTCATTTCAAACTCACAAAGAGAAACAGGATTCGTGAAATACAATGCGACACATCTGCCATGGACTTCTCCTTAGCCTTCAACTCTCGATGAACAGGACCACAACCTCCACAAAAGTATCTCTCAACCCTTAAATTTAGGTCCCTTTCATACGCCTATGAACATGAGTCCACATCAACGATCTTGCTTTGTAATGTTATATTTTTTTTGGTTTCCAGTTGAGTAAAGTGATTGTTGCGAAGCCAATGATAAGTGCATAATTGGCACGGTTCCAGAACAGTAAGGTGAAAAAAGAGTGAACAAATGGAGATAAATGATATGGAATGATGAGTCGCTACTTGAATCTTGGGTGCCGGAGAGCTTCTCATAAAAGTACAAAAATTTATTGTCCCCTTCCTACAATCCGGCCTGAACCTTGGGGTACACTCTGTAGGATTAACAACAATAACTACAAGGAGCACGGTAGAATTCTTCGGTAGAATTCTTCGGTATGGTCATTTGGGAAGACCCGCCGAGGACAACTCCCAATAAATTTTTGGGAAATTTAAAAAAGGAGCCCGAAGTGGAGTTATTTTCTCAAATAAGCGCCTGAAGTAAATCTTGTTCCAAATAAGGGCCCGGAGTGTCCTCATTTCTCAAATAAGGGCCTAAAGTGACCATGTCAGTCTCAAATAAGGACATAACCTCACCAACTAAAGGTTATTTTCGTCTTTTACTTTTTTCTTGCTTTTCTTTTTCCTTTTCTTAATTTTTTTCCCCTCTTCCCTCCGCTGGCCTCAGGAGAAGGCCGCCCTTGCCGGCGTCGGGAGAGGGCGAGGCCAGCCCAGGCAAGGCAACCCTTGCCCGACACTGGCGAGAGTCGCCCTCGCCCGATGGCGGCAAGGGCAAGGCCAACCTAGGCAAGGCAACCCTTGCCCGACGCCAGCGATCTGACGAGGGTCGCCCTCGCCTTAGGCCTGCGAGGGTTGCCCTCTTCCGATCTAGCGGGGGTAGCCCTCGTCGGCGTCGGGCGAGGGTTGCCCTCGCCCGATCTGGTGAGGGTCGCCCTCGCCCGCCTGGCACGGGTGAGGCAACCCTCTCCCAATGCCGGCGAGGGTGGCCCTCGCTAGCCCAGGCGAGGGCGGCCTTGCTTGAGGCCGGCGAAAGTGAAGGCTGGGAGGGAAAAAGAAAAAAAGGAAAAATAAAAAAGAAAAAGGAAAAGAAAAGGAAAGTAAAAAATATATAAAAATATATACTTATAATGTTTTTGACTAAAATACCCCTTCTCTAGCGACGGAATAGTCACCTGCCGGCCAAGAATCCTTTTTCGAGACGATCTAGCCACTTCAGGCCCTTATTTGGGATGATTTGACTACTTCAGGTCCTTATTTAAGATAATTTTAACTTCAGATCCTTATTTAAAAAAATGAATCCACTTTGTGTCCCTTTTTTGAATTTTCCCTAAATTCTTGCGAGAGCTCCAGAAGCGTGTAAAGCATCGTGTCCATATAATTGCCGTTAAATAGGGTTATCCTGCAGAATAATCCAAAGCGGCTGGCCCGGTGGATCCACGAGTAGGAAAACCATATTTCTCTAGGGGAAGGTCCGCGCTGTGTTCTGGTTCTGGGAGGTGTTCCCTTTCTAAATTATGAGTACTAGATTAGGTTGCCATCTAGGTCGGTCGGGGTTGATATACTTATTCGAGATTACGATGCTCGTGAGTAGATCTGATGCAAACAGGCAACATCGATTACTAACTGAGGTTCGTGGAATGTTTATATAAATATATACATCTCTTAGTTTGAAAAGCAAGTTGCTTCTGGATTTTCAATTAGAGCATCAGATGACTTCACGAGCTCAGTGAGACATCAGTTGAAAGAAGCAACAAGGACCAAAGAAAGGCCAACAGCTGAAGGTCAAGCATTAAACTTGTCGTTCAGTGGCGTGTTGGTGAGCATCATGTGAAGCAAGACCATGACAGGGTACTTAGAAATTGGAAGGATTTGACATGATTCTAAACTAATCGACACCGTTCCGAAACAACGACGACCGAGAACAAAATGGGGTCGCGAAACCGAAAGAGAGCTTGTGTACAGCAATAATAGGCCAGAACACGCCCTCATAATTTGAATCAACTTTGACTAAACAAGAGACACGGCAATTATTTTTTTTCAAAATGTCTATGATCAAAGGGAAGTTTACAACATCAGGGCCAAGGTTGTCTATTGCAGAGGCTAGTCTTGTTAGAGTCAAGACATCTCAGAAGCCACCATTTAATGCCTTTCCCTCGTTGGAGCATCTTTGCAGGAGGAAAGACAGTGACTCCATATGCAACGGACAATGTGTAGTCTACGTATTTTTGTTTAGGATTCATCTATGGAATCCTAAAGTGGTTCAGGCGCTAGATCTCTATTATAAAAAGGAGCCAATGATGGGAAAAGGACTCCGGCTCAATTCGTGCTGAGACGGCATTTCATTCCTGAGACTTTCCTTTGACAAGTCCTGTCGGCAGTTGACTAGACCACAGCGCCTCTAATCTCGTTCAATCTAAGGAAGAAAGCAGGGGCCCCCGCCTAAAGCATGGACGGTCTCGGTCGGTGAGATTGACAAATCACATGCACCATGCAGTGCAAATTGCAGTGCAGTGTAGGGTCCGTCTGTGGGATGATTGATGCAAGGACAGCCATTTGATTTTCTGCTGCAATTTATTACAGATCAATGGGAATTTATTACATGTCTCTCTTTTCTTAGCTTAGCTTCCTCGGTTCAAAGATGGGCTCTTCTCTCATGACTTTCTGTGCTTTTATCTTTCTGTGGACATACCCAGCTGTGAAGGCTCCAAGAGCTTCAGCTTCAAGAAATGGGCTTTTAATGCACGTTGGCTTTCCTTGGTAACAATGGACCGCCTCTAAAGCAAAATCTGAACCTCGGATTGACGCGAACGGAGCGAATATATGCTTTTGCATGCACATGCTTAAAGATTAGAGTGCACAGATTACTTTTCGTTGGGCATCTATACGAGTTTGCCATTCTTAGAAATATTAACTTTCCAACAGAGTTTTTGAAGACACCACCAACCTCTGGCCCAACAGCTTCCTGTGTACTGCATCAGATATCACACGCCATGACGCTCCAGAATTCATTGTCCCAACCCTATAGATCTCAGACGGGTCCTTAAAGTCTCTCAACCTCCCATTTGAATGTGGTCGATATCGCTAGATGGGTCACTGAAGGCACAAAGTCCGAGAAAAGAAAGAAAAATCTGGAGGGGGCTGCCAACATTTAATAGAGCTGAATCTACCAACTCATAAAGGACTGAAAGAGATGGGAAGAGTGTCCTAGAATAACCTGAACAGGACCAGGAAATACCATAAAGCAGAACCTACCAGCTTTAAATAGCAAAGAATGAAAGAGAAATCAACCGGCTCATGTACACATCCTATTATGCTGGCACGATGCGAGAGTCCCCTTCCCAAACAAGGCCCCATGACTTGCGAAGCCCCAACTAACTCTCTTATCGGTCATAAATTTTGCCCAACAGTTTCCGACTCGATGCTATGATAAGAGAAACTAATTGTCGATTTCTTCGTAGTTAGTTGCTCGATTATACTGCCCCCAATACGGATGAGTTTTGAGCCAGCAGGTATGTATCTATAAACGATAATGTTAGGTGTATGTGAAGTGGAATTGTTGGTGAAGCCCTCAGGGGCCCACATTGAAGGGAACAGACATATAAAAGCTACCCAAATAAACACTGAAAGTTGCAGCAGCAGAACATAATATATACACAAAACTGAGATCACATCAAGTAATGATGCCGGTAACCCCTGCATTAAAAAACAACAAGAAGATGATCACTATGGCCTAATTAGAATCACTCCCGAAAACATATTTATATACACCTCGAGGGGAAGTAAACATGGGTTTATTCTAATATCAACAAGCTCAGATTCTTCTCCTCCCACAACCAAAGTGAGAACGGTGATTCATTTTCTACAGATCTGCAATCTGCAAATAGAAAATTCATGAGAAGACAAGGTCAATCAATGCATTAGGCTAGGCACAGGGTAGTTAGTTAAGAGTCGTGTTAAATTAATCAAGAAAAGAGGGCGTGATTGGTCCATGTCCCCTTGGATGATCACAAAAAAAAAAATTAACTTCCACCCTGTTAAGTGCTAATTAGATTCCATATGAAACCTTTAGTAGAGTTCAGACCCACGTTTGAAAAAAGCAGCAACGGGAATAGATTCCCATGTAAGGTTAAAGCAGTGAATAGTCCCTATTTCCGGACAGAAGAAAATGACCGACACCTCTTCCAACACAAGTGAAGCCAATGAATATTAAATACGAAACAGAGCCCAATGAGACTTGAAAATGACCCCACTTGATTGTTGGATGTAGCGATCCTAATTTCTTATGGACAAAAAAGAACACCGGCATTTCCTATATTTACATCCACACCACTGACCATGAAGCAACCCTAGTTGATGGCTGTATAAACCACAGATTTGCCCAAAAAAACATAAAAAATCAACCCAGGTAGATCTGAAAGAAAAAGGTTGTAACTTTGGGCACTTCTTCCGTTGGCATAAATTGAATTGATTCAGAAGAATGTTGAACTAAAGTGAAAGTAGGCAAAGTAAAGACACATTGTGAGGTCAGCTTTTTAACAGTGTAGAAATCTAGGCAATGATATAAACAAAGTAAATTGGACTAACTTCTAAATAACCTTTCGAAGCATCAGTTCTCAAAAGGGCAAGCTCTTCGAGGTAGAACTTGCAGTGAGGGACTTGAGATGATCCGAAGGGACGAAATCTTGAGGCAAATTAGCTCTCTTAACAATCCTCCTCATGTTGCTCTGCAAACTCTGTTGAACCAATTGCTGCACCGCTTTCTTCTCCTCGCTCATCATGTCTTCGTCCTCCATAGACTCCTTCGTCCCTCCATTAACACTCAGTGCAGTTGACGAAGCCCCGCATATAGGAGCAGATACTGCTGCACTCATGCTACTGCCGCCATAGCTCTCTGAAATCTGCTTCCCTTTATCCACCCTCAAACACTCCAGTATCCTCGAAGCTCTCTTCTGCGACAATGTACTGCCAAGAAGCGTCAATTCAAGCAATGCCGATACAATTCCAGCCTCGATCATTGCCTGCCTATCTCCATAAGCTTTGTGAGACATCACCATCAAAACGTACGACGCTTTCTCTTGGCAACCCGGCGAGTCGGTCCAGTTTAATATGTCAACCATTATAGGGAATGCGTCTTTAACTACGCTGATCGCCTTTCTCCCTTCAGGGGTGGATACGATATTGCTGAGTATAGATAAAATCCGTCCACTGATTTCCATGTCTCCCAAGGCATTCATAAGAAAAGGGACCAAATCAGTTTCGATTATTATGCAGATATTGGAGGGGAAGATTGAAAGGTTGTAGAGAGCTCTGAGGGCATCTTGCTTTGCTTGGGGGCTACTCTTGTGGTCTGTATCTATAAGGGTATTCACCAAAAAGGGGATTGCGCCTGACAATCCGATGATGGGTTTGTTCGAATCTAGAGCACTCAAGCCAAGAAAATTCGCCACTATAGCCTCTGAGATTGAAGGGTCTATTGTCTCCTCAGGAGATTCAATAAGCTTCAACATCTTATGAACAGCCCCTGCTTTGACAATGGCCGCCTTGTTCCTGCAAATGAGTCCAAAAGAGATGAGATATATATGAGTTCACAGTCACAAACCAGTAGGAACTGGACAAATCCAAAATGCACAGAAAAACACATATGCTTCAAAAGTGACAAGAACTTTAGCGTGGGCAGTAAAAACAAGACAACGCATTCTCTCAAATGCGGAATAATGAAACTTGATGAAGATGACACATGAGAACAGGGAAAATGACTGGTCAATATACCTTCCAAAACATGGCAAATTAACATCATTGTAAAAATGCACATTTTGCAGATAACGACTGATGACACCATAGAAGACAGAGCTTTGCAGAGAGCCTGAACCGGCATGTGAAAATAGATCAAATTCAAAAGCACATTACAGACAGCATCATGGCTGGTCGAGGTAAAAAGAAATATTTGATGGCGACACTAGTAACAGAGCTCGAAAAAAGAGTTCAAATCTGGAACACAAAACACAATCTAGATCGCCAAGGTGAGAACTTTTTACCAAAAAGCAGAGGCTGAACTGCAAGCACGAAAAACCAAGCAGAAAAGCTCTTGAGAAAGAAGAAGAAGATGAGCACAAGCTCATCATGAAAAATCCAGTTATGCATGCAAAGGAGGTGAAAAAGACGACCTCTCTTTCCCTGTTAATGGCAGGACAACATGCCGAAACCGATCAAATGCAGATATTGAAAGAAGGACGATCTAACCCATTGCAAAAATCCCAAGAACTCACATGTCATTGCCAATGCCGAGATTAAGCAGAGCGTAGAGCGAAGCAATCTGCGAATCGAGATCCGAAGAGTCGAGCATTCCCACCAACGGCGGGATCGCTCCCAGCATCGCGAGCGTCGTCCTCGCCTCCGGGTCCTCCTTCGCGAGCAGCCTCACGTGGCGAGCGCTCTCCCTCCTCTTCTCCTCCTCGCGGTCAGCCTCTCCCTCCCCATCCTCCGCGTCCTGCAGATCCCTCACCACCCGCTTCAGCTTCTCCAGGGCCTCCACCTTCTGCCGCGTCTCCACGTCGCTCTCCTGCCGCTCGTGGATCTCCGCCAGCTGGAGCAGGTCGCTGAGCTTCTCCGACTTGGACACGAACGTCGCCAGCGTCCTGGGCCGCGGCGGGTCGGGGCCCGGCCTCGGCGGGTCCGGGGGGATCTTGGGTGGCGGCTTCTTGCTGCGGCTGCGACTGCTGGGGGAGAAGGAGCCGCCGCCGCAGCGGAAGGCGTCGAGGAGGCGGCGGCGGAGGGCGGAGCCGGAGAAGGAGGGCCAGGGGCGGGCGGCGGCGGCGGAGGCGGTGGCGGAGGAGGCGCGGTTGAGGAGGAGGGAGCCGATGTCGTTGCCGTGCGGGCAGGCTGCTGCGGCCATCTCGTGGGGGGCGGTGTGAGCGACCCAAAGGGAGCTACATTTTCACGGGAAAAACAGGGGAAAGCAGGGGGCGGTGCGGATGCATGCGGGTCATGCTGTGGAACATCTGGCAGATGATGAGATGTGGGGCTCGTCGTTTTCCTTTCAATCAAAATTGCGGAACTTGGAGAGGAAGCAGAAGCAGAGGAGAGGAGCGCGCCTCTGCTCGCCTGCTCAGTGCGCGCACTGCTCGAGATGGAGACAGAGGAGAGAGAGAGAGAGAGAGACTTTTCGTCTTCTTTTCTTCCTTCTCCTTCGTCGTCGTCGTTCTGTGTGTGGTTTTTATAGGTGTCAAAACGTGGAGAGAAAGATAGAGAGAGAGAGAGAGTGGGACTTGGGAGTGACTTTTTGGAGATTTATTTTATAATATCAGTGGGAAAAAAAATTCATTTTTTAATAATAATAAAAATCGATTTTGTTTTATTTATTTGAAGCATGGAATTTTGGGGGTGATTTTTGGAAATTTATCTCATTTTGAGAACGTTTCCAACGAGCCCCTCCCCTCTCTTTCTCTAGTCTCACACCTACCTCCATTTTTGGAGGAGAAAATTATAATTTCCGTCTTTGTTTTTTTCTTAATTTGCTAGAAGAAAATCTCATTTCATTTTGAATAAGAGCATGTTCTATAAGTGTGTGTATATATATATAATAGGCGGGAATTTTCATTTTTTCCATTTTCCGTTTGACTTTTCCCGTTACTGTAATTACTAAATCGAGATAATTAGTTAGACGGATAAACCTGTGTAAAAAAAATATACAAAGACCGATGCGTTTATAGCAAGCGTTTCTAACGGTTTTTCGTCATCCCTGATCGTTTGAAATAATCTCGGTAAATATTTATATGTTCGGAAAGAATAGCGAGTCACACTTTGTTTTTTGCACAAATGTATAATTTTTTAATGTACTCAGCACATGCATGCTTGCACAGCCCATAGAAAATATACATGAATAAAAAAGATTCGTGATCTATGGTCTCCTTTTTATTTTCTTTCTTTTTGATGAGAAATGTGGATAAAGTCGTAGAGCTGCGTCGCTTGATCTTGTTTAACAAAGGAAGTAAACCTCTCGGTAATAAAATCGGATCCTATATGATCGCCTATTAACAAAAAAAGTAAATCCGTCGATGGCCTATCCAATGTTAGAGTGTCATCTGCATCAAATGACGAAAGTATCCAATATGCTAACCAGTCTACTCCTTCCCTAGAAGTGTGTATGAGTTTGACCTGTTGGAAATACACTAACATTCTCCTAATATGAGAAAGGAGAATGTTCCTGAAATTAAGAGAGGGAGTTTGATTTTTTGAAGAATGAAAATCCCTGCTTGCGAATCCCCCTCTCCAATAAGTTTGCCAAATGGCCGGGCCTAAAGTTCTACTTTGAGCGAAATATGATCTCCTCCTAATTAGCTAGGGATCGAGATCCGAGAGGGATTTATGGAGTTATTTGTATCCATCAATCTACTCATTATATAAAAAGGATATTTGAGTGGAAATATCTAAATTAGCCTTCTATTCAAACAACACCTTCTTTAAATTAGCTAATTAGCAAGTATATACACGTCATCAATTTAATCATGACCTCAGGTCAAGGGAGATAGCACACTTGATTGTCTTGAATTTGAGCGGAACAACTTGTAACTAGGAGGAAAATCTGGGATATTTATTAGGTTCAAAATCAAGAAAGAAAGTTATTTGTATAGATACATGCGATTTGACTCGATATGGAATGTAACTTATATTCGTCCACATTCGAAATTTGGAAAAAAAAGAAGTGACGGGAAAAGGCAAAGATAAATAATAAAGATATTATTGACGGGTGTCGGGACATTTATTAAAAAGGAGAACAAGAAAATGAAATGTTTATGTGATTGTCCTTAATCCATTGTGAGATTGACATTCTATTTAGGGCAAAAAAAATTAAATATTATTCTGGGGTCTACTCCTTCAAGAATTTGTGAATCACAACGTGCCATTCCTTTCACAATTACCTAAAGACTATTATTCTTCATCCTAACAAATTTTTTATAGCTTCTAATACATCTACAAGTATTGTATTATACATAATCAACGTTTTCAAGATTGAGCTATTTTAAGGCTCTATTTATTTTGTAAAAAATGAATTATTTGAAAAATATTTTCTTAAAAATGATTGGTTGTATGCTTAGAATGATAATCAATGAGAAACGCTTTCATTATCGATAATAATTTATGTTTAGACATTTTCTCGTAAGATGAAGATCTTCATTCATTTATTTTTATAAGCAGTATAATCAATAAAAAAATTTAAAAGAGTATTTTTTAATTAATTACTTTTTCTTTTTTGGGCGAAACATACCCATCCTAAATGAAATATTTTTCATCAATATTTTCTGAGCGCTCGTGTAAAAAATAAAACTAAAAGCCACGAAGCTTACGGGAAAAGCTCAACTTCTCCTGGCGGAAGAGCACTTATCGTGCAGAGGTAATTTTTCTGAGCTGCGGGTACGGCGCGCGACAAAGCATGGACGCGTGTCGCTTTCCTCCTCCCTCCTTCCCTCCTTCCCTCCTCTGCTTTTCTTCAGTCATCTGGTGCGGTGCGGTCCAGCTAAAGGAGTCGTGTTAAACCATGCGCCCGCGGCAGAAACTTCCCGGAGGGAACCGCGCGGGGGGGGCCCACGGCCCGGGTCCTGATTGGCCGGCGCACGTTAATCACGGTGGAGGAGGGAGCAGGGGAAGATGGGTGGGGGATTGGAGGGGCTGGCCAGCACTCAGCAGTGATGGGCATGTGCAGGTGCAGGTGCAGGCGCAGGCGCAGGTGCATTTGGTTCTCTGACCTCTTTCACTGGTGGCTGCTCCTCCAAGAAGCTAAGGGGGGCTTGACTTTTAATGGATTCCCTGGAGTGGGGTCACGCGTGTCGTTTTTTATACTGGTTTGGGCTTCGGTTCTTTTTGGTGGAATCACGGTTGAGCCACTGATCTCTGATCTCCACCAGCTTCGGTTCTGCTGCTTTTGGTCAAGTGTTCTTGTGCAGCAGCAGCAGCAGCAGCCGCAGCCCCCATGGCACGTGCATTTTGCCAAAATGATTTTGGTATGTCTTAGAAGCTGGTGCTGCAGATCTGAACTTGAACTCGAGGAAGGGAGGAGGACCCCCCTCTCTCTTTGTTAGGTGGAAAGGAAAGGAAAGCAATTTGATACTCTCCATTGTTCCTGTTTTGATCGGGCTGGAATGATTTGAGGGAAAAAAAATGTGTGTGTGGTTTGAGTCGGTGTCGTTGTCTCGGCCAAGTGAAAAAAATGTGGCCCCTCTCGTGGGGATCTGATTATTTACTTTTTTCCCACACTCCCTTTTAGTTAGGTAGAAGAATGCCAAAAAGAAGAGCAAGGGAAAAAATTCATCGGGGTTTTAATACGGGTGGAGATCTCGAACTGGTATCGATCGGCGTAAATACTTGAAATTATTATTTTCGTATTGCGGAAGATCCCGAATTAGTAGCCGCGATGCATTTATTGGAATTACCTACCCGATCCACCGTCCATTGAAATGCATTCGTATCGATATACGTGGATTTTCCGCGTCGGATTTGTTTTGTAGCCATCTTCTGCAGGCCGGATTTGTTTTGTAGCCATCTTCTGCGGGTGTCGACGCGTGTGCATTTTAACGGGATATCATATGAAATTTCAATGGAGGGCAAAATTTAGGTCAGGGGTATTGGTTTGGATTTTCCTCGTGAAACAAAAAATGATTTGGGGTAAATTTGTAACGGGGTATTCATTTATAATTTTTTAGAAGACGAAAAATTATTTGGAAAGTATGTGTCGTGAACTTATCAATTCGGGCATTTTAAAGGTATTAACGTGAATTCCTATTCTTTTCCCCCCACACAATGCATGGAAGGACAAGAGTTGTGGAGGCCTCAGAATTTTGCTATGATTCACGGCAATAAAGAGAACACAAAAGGAGGTAGACGTACTCATCATTGTAATCAGCCAAAGGAGCTTTGGACCACCGAGATGTGAAGGCACGTCCCAAGCAAACATGAGGAACAATGTGCATAAGAGTACAACTGTACTCGGAACATATACTAACATCGATGTCGTTGCCTTGTTGGGACACCACCGTCACCTTAGAGATTGGTTTAAGATATGCAGGGACGATGCCGACACGATCCACATGGGTTGATGTTACAAAGATCATAGCCTAAACACTCATTCTAGCTTCCAAAAGCCAGGGATACGAGCAATTCATTCTATATGTTTAAGATCGTAGTCTTGGACAAAATCCCGAGTCTTTATCTGAGATCGGTGGTTTCACCGGCGTACGGGCCGATTAACACTTTCGGTAGGAGAAAGTTTTGATGCGCCTTCGCGAGGCGGTCACACCCGTTTTGCTTAAGAGCATGCATGAAGCAGTTTCTGTTCTAGGATTGGGACTGCCTAACCAACAGACATCGAATCCTCAAAAAGAAATGGCAATGATTCTCGCAGCGTCGTGTCATATGAAGTGCAGAGAATGAGAAGACGGGGAATGGACCCCGTCATCATAATGCAATTGCTCCCGTGAATATAGCAAATAGCAGATCTTTTAAGAGTGACAGCTACTGTTCTGTGTAAATGATGGATTTGGACATTTGACAGCAACTGATTTCCGGTTTGACGCGAATTCCGCTTAGTAACAGTATCCGATGGTTGTTCGAAAAGCTTTCTCAGATTCTCTAGCTAGTGATAGTAAACCTGTGTGTGCGTGTAAGGAACAACAATCATAGTCACCCTCTAACCTTTTGCTCTCGAGGAATCAGGAAGCTCATGTCAGTTAGCAAGAAAGTTCACTGAAGTTACAAAGAAACATTAACTCTGACATTGAAACAGGCCAATTAATAGGGTGGAACTCGCGCTGCATGGGACATTATGTACAGATACCTTATGTCCACAAAAACCAGCTAAAGGTGGGCGGTTGGTTGTAGCTATCTTGACTCGTTGTACACTTGAAGCTAACTTGAACACTTGACCAGCACAATCAAAATCTTATCACTTACCAGAATGAAGCAGGGTGACGTATGTGCGAGCAGCATGAGACACGTGTTACTCAATGTCAATCATTGGCAACCATCGCATCCATTGGGCTGCTCTCCAACCTCTTGATGCACAGCCTCTTCTGCGGGGGACGGTCCTTGGCTGAAGGTGACGTGACAGCATCGACAATCACCGAGTCGTCCTCCTTGAAATCTCCTCTCAAGATACCCATAGCGATTTCGTTCTCAACCAACTGTTGGATCACCCTCTTCACAGGTCTGGCGCCAAAATTTGGATCGAAGCCCAATGTCCCAAGAAGCACAACGGCTTCCTCAGTGTAGTGAAGTTCAATTTTCTTCTGTTTTAGTCGTTCTTTCAACCGGTCCATCTGCATCAGGTGCAAAATGGACCATCAAAATGTTTGCTACAAAACTCATATGCCCTTCATAAAGTAGCATCCAGGTGCCTATACGTGCATTTTGACACAAAACATAAGAACTCATTTAGATGTGCTAAGTGCATTTCGAAACAGAACATAAGAATTGTGTTGGATGGGTTACTCAGAAAGGTGAATCCTTAGCAAACATTCATGAACTAAAAGGCTCTAGGCATCCTGACATGTAAATAAGACCAATACTGCTTAACAAAATTGATAATTCGGAAATTTGAATAAACATTGCAATGTAGTTCCTTTTCCCACAAACATAAACTGCTAAATCATAAAAATTACCACAAATAAAGATTCATCTTGTGCAACATATTGGAATTTTGCATCACAAAACAATAGTTATCAACATGTAACCCATAAGAATTCAAGTTACTTAAACTACAGTAAGAGAATGCACAGAAGCTTTATGCAAGCAAGCGTTGGTAACCTATGCAATTGCACCACTATTTGTTAGCATCTCATCCAAGTAGTCATGATAAAAGGTTAGGAAACAAAAGCTAGTTCTGCATTTTCAATTTACCCCCACTGATAAAAGAACATCGACGCAAGAATGCAGCTTGAATATGATGGCAATCCAACTGTAGAGTCTTTTTTGTGATTAAGCTTTCTTACGCAACGCAGCACCTCCAAGGAATAAATAGAAGTGAGCTCAAGATTAGTTACCTGGAGATTCACAATTTTGCCAATTTCATTGGAGTCCAGTGGCTGGAATACAATGTACTCATCAATTCGATTCATAAACTCTGGGCGGAATGTTTGTCTGGCCAACTCAACAACTTGTCTTTTCATAATGTCATAAATTACTTCCTTACTGTCCCTTGTATTACGGAGAGTTTCGAGTATAAAGTGAGAGCCTATATTAGAAGTCATTATCACGACACAATTTGTAAAACTGACAGTCCTTCCCTGGGAATCAGTTATTCTTCCATCATCCAACAGCTGTAACAAAATGTTGAACACGTCGTGATGTGCCTTTTCAATCTCATCAAAGAGCACAACAGAATAAGGTCTTCGCCGAACCACTTCAGTCAGCTGCCCACCTTCTTCATATCCCACATAACCAGGAGGTGCACCAACCAAACGTGAAACCGCATGTTTCTCCATGTACTCACTCATATCTATTCTAACAAGAGCATTTTCTGTGTTGAAGAGATATCCAGCTAAAGCCTTGGCAAGCTCAGTTTTGCCAACACCAGTAGGGCCCATAAACATAAAACTTGCTATTGGTCGGTTTGGATCAGATAATCCAGCCCTCGAACGACGGATTGCATCAGCTACTGATTTAACTGCTATATCTTGACCAACCACCCTCTTGTGAAAGACCTCCTCCAGCATTACTAGCTTTTCCTTCTCTGACTGTTGAAGGTTCGACAAGGGAATGCCAGTCCATTTGCTGACAATTTCAGCGATGTCAAGATCAGTGACCTCTTCTCGTAGCAAAGATTTTCCTGATTTCCTGAATTCTGCAAGATTCTTTTCAGCCTCCTTTAACTGGCGCTGAAGCGAAATGAGCGTTCCATATTTGAGTTCAGCAGCACGGTTTAAGTTGTATTCACGCTCGGCAGCTTCCATCTCCAGGTTAACTCTATCAATCTGTTAGACGGAGAGAAAGGTCAAATCAAGGTAAAATACACAAAAGGAAGAATCACGAAAGAGAATTATATAGGGGTAGAAGAGTTACCTCCTCTTTAATTGATCGAATCCGAGTCATAAGAGCTTTTTCACTTTCCCACTGCTCTGTCAGTTCTTTTTGCTTCTGTTTAAGCAAATTTAAGTCATTTTCCAACTTATGCAACCTTTCTTTAGATGCTTTATCTGTGTCATTTTTCAGAGATAACTTCTCCATCTCCAACTTAAGCACAGCTCGGTCTATCTCATCCAATTCAGTAGGCTTGGATGTAATCTCCATTTTCAGCTTTGCTGCGGCTTCATCAACTAGATCAATGGCTGAAGGAGAAACAACATAACCATATATGATTAGACAACAGAAGGAGCAGGACAGATGTCCGTTTATTGAGGTAAAGTAGAGAAGCATTCAAGACAAGAAGTTGGAATAAACAACAACATCTTCTCTTTATACATTTAAATTGTTCTATCACGGTGGTCATATTTCTCAAAGTATATCAGAGGGAAATATCCAAAACAGAGGCATAACGACATTGTACTCCTAAGAGAGTGTATAGATAATGAAGAAAAAAATTAAGCAAAAGAAGAAGACTGCAGGAAATAAATAAAAAGAATAGCAGACAGAAAATACCATACTGCTAGCAACCGCATATTTGAAGTCGCAATGCGAAAAGAATTTCATAGTTAGGCGCCCCAGCAAAAAAAAAAAAAAATTATTGTGCTGTTGCACGATCTTTACACATTATCGTTGGGATTTAATGCGTCATTTTAAACGACAGGAAGATTGATTATCATTTAAAAAAATTAATTGGAATATGTCATTATCAATTGAAGAGAGTCAATTAATTGCTCATACGTGACGAAAATGGCTAGAGTCATAAACACAGAAATACAATCCAACACTGATAAAATTCATAGATTACCTTTGTCAGGCAGAAAGCGTTCGGTAATGTAACGATTTGAAAGGACAGCAGCTGAAACAAGGGCGCTGTCTGATATTTTAACGCCATGGTGTAGTTCATACCGCTCACGCAATCCGCGAAGAATGGAAATAGTGTCCTCAACAGATGGCTGCCCGCAAAACACTTGTTGAAACCTACGCTCTAGAGCAGCATCCTTCTCAATGAACTTCCTATACTCATTCAGTGTTGTTGCACCTATGCAACGTAGCTCACCGCGACCTAACATTGGTTTCAACAAGTTCCCTGCATCCATTGCGCCACTTGTCGCTCCTACATGCATAACACAAGCAGTACTTTTCAATACACAATTTGCGTTCGGCACATGGGAGTAAACAGAAGAAAAGCAGCACATAGGAATCTGAATAAAACCATCACATGAAAAACAAAAGCAAAATGAAAACATGAAAGATATAGATTATACTAGACTTTGCCTGACTACAAAGTTTAATAACACGATATAGAAATTAACGACTTTTGCATGCATGTTTACATAGTCCCTGATAACAATGATAGAAATGGAACCAGGAAAGAAAAGCAAGAAGGATACACACCTGCACCTACAACAGTGTGAATCTCATCAATGAACAATATAATCTGCCCATTTGAAGCTGTTACTTCCTTCAAGACAGCTTTCAGTCGTTCCTCAAAATCTCCACGGAACTTAGCGCCTGCAACTAGTGCTCCCATATCCAAGGAAATCAACTGCATAGGTCAAGATAAAGCAGACATCCTTTTAGCAGAAAGCTCTCTGAACAATCACATTATCATATAAACAACTTATCTTGAACAGACAGCCAAAATTACAACCTTTCTGTTCAACAGTGGCTCCGGTACATCCCCACGGACTATACGTTGAGCCAACCTGTTAAGAGTGAGAATTACGACAGAGAAATTACCATAGAATCCATAAAGTTACAATATTCACACTAGGAACCATGTCACTAGACGTGCTCACTTCCAAAATGACAGTAATATGTACATAGTTTAACAATTGCTATTCTCTGAATACTCTCTACTGCTAAGGAAAAGTTACATGACAGCTAAAAGGATGGAACCAGCACACTGACTGAGTATCACCAGCACTCTTTTCAACTAGTTTAGCTCTAGATTTAGATCTGCAGAACAACCTATAGAGCCCAGCTCAGCACTACTGCTTCGGAGAATCCAATAGAGTGTTTCACTTGAGAATAGCCGTAACACCACTGCACCTTATCAGCTTGAAGGTCAATTATATCTTCACGAACAAAGTCTCTGACATTATGTTATCATCATAAAAGAAAGGAAGCCAGTTTTTGGTCCATCAGAAAAATGATTTGCATGAGTAATTTGATCCTAATAACTATAACTCAGACAGAACTAAAGTTGAGAAGAGGTTATAAACACTGAACTATTCATATGACACTAAATAACAGCAATGTTACACTGGGAGCTCCATGAACGATCCTTCATGGCACATGCTGGCTGCACACGCAAACAACATAAGCAAAATAGAAGAACATGTCTAACAACATATCAGGCACTAAGATACTAAGCTTAAGAAAATAATATTGAACTAAGAAACCTACCCTTCAGCAATTGCAGTTTTCCCCACACCTGGCTCACCAATAATTACTGGATTATTTTTAGTTCTCCTACATAATATTTGAATGCAACGCCGGATCTCATCGTCACGACCGATAACAGGATCAAGCTTGCCCCGCCGAGCCATTTCCGTCAAGTCACTGCCATATTTCTCGAGTGCTTCATATTTTCCTTCCGGGTCTGTTTGTAGGAGACAAAAGAAATGTTATGACAAATGCATTAGTAGTCAAAGAAGCAAAGGAAATAGACCAGGTATCAACAACAGGTCTTCCTGCTTTGGCGGGACAATAATGAATCATGTGCTACAACATGCATGTTAGAGGGAATACTTAGCCAGCTGAGAAACATCGCGAAAGAACCAAGATAAAGCTGAGAAATACAGTGGAATATTTAAAATAAAGTTTTAGAAGCTTCAGTTAAGCATGACAATATCTCATCTTCCCTGAGCAGATATCCTGAACACTTTGAGATTATGAAAACATATCTTTTTCTAATAGTTGAATATCATCAAAAGTTTCAATATGATTATTCCCTCAAATCAAATAGTTCTTTGCAGGATGAAGAATTGTTCCAAGCAGCAGCCAGCGGCACTGCTCTCTCATCTCACAACTGACAAGCAAACTCTCACTGTCCCTGTGGACTTCTAATTGACAGAGTAAACAAACGAAGTCCATCAGGAAAGCAGAAACCCATCCAAACAACAACCCAGATGGACTTAGTCAAACAGCAAGTGGTGACTATGTAGAGTTCGTTGATTAATGAAGTTTTATGAAGACAACGGCTAGCCTGTCTGTGGGGAATCAATGTCACGAATATTGTCAGCCTGTTCAAGTCCTAACAATTTCAGGAACCTCTGAGAAAACATGGGAAGCAATGTTTTATAAGGACCAGAGCCTACCATAAGTATCATGTGATTCAGAAAAAAAATCGTTGCGGAAGTTGAATAAAAATAGGACGTACTTTGATCTGTTACTCTTTGATTTCCACGAACAGCTTGAATGGCCTCCCTCAAATCCTTCTCACTGAGCTGGAGATTTCGAAATAATTGCTGCCCAAACCTCTTATCAGAATGAAATGCAAGCAATAAATGCTCCACAGAAACAAAATCATCTCCCATTTCTTTCTTGTACTTCCGAGCATTGTCCAAAAGGGAGGCAAGGTTTGAGCCCATTATAGGGCCACTAGTATCGCCCACAACCTGGTGCAAGATCACAGATTGTTACCAAACCCCAAATAACCTTTGGAGAAAGACAAAATTGAATTGAAAAACAAACATATAACTGAATACACGCCTTTGGTTGTTGGGATATGAAGTCGTCCAAAGCCTGCAGAACTGATGTGTTGTCAAGACCAGCTTTGGTGAGAACTCTCCTGGCTAAACCATCCTTCTGCTCCAAAAGAGCTTTCATTAGATGCTCAGTTTCCACCACTTGTTGTTTGCTTACTCGAGCTGCATCAACAGCGCCAACAATGCCCTCCCAGGCCATCTCAGTGAACTCTGATGGATTTGTCTGAGGAAAACAAAGCCGGACTTCAATTAATTTTTTTGGAAAAAAACATATCAAATGAAACAGGTCGACTTCTCTTCCAGAAATTCTGACTAAAGGATGACGAGGAAAAAATTGCCTGGTCAATCCTGCTACATTAAACACAAATATCCAGTAAATTTAACAGGATTAGGACAGAATTCTTCAATATGAGATGCTTACTCGGTTGGTAAGTAACCTTCTAATGTTAATCACACTAAACTCCAGTCCACCATATCTTGAACTTTTAAGGAAATCAAAAACAAAACATGAAAAAATTAAACATTTACTTTAAGACTTTGGATGTTGAAAATCAAACACTTAGTTTTAACTCAAGGAACTGTGTTAACTTGTACAATCAAGGAACCGTCCCCTGCACTGCTAAGAAAGTGTAATAGCTACTCAAGTATTAGGCGGACCTTCATTTGCAAATGGTCACGGGAGACGGTGAAGTTGAAAGCAGAAGTTTGGTAAATTTGCAGCTTATAATTCTCCAATGTATACCATAAAGAACCACCAAACGATATTTTGAATTTATCATTCATTAAGGATACAGCTAAAAGTAATGCACTTTCGTGATACAGGGGAAAAGTTTATTTCGTTAAGGGTGTATTTATTTCGTGAAAATGAATCATTTGGAAAATATTTTCCAAAAAATGATAGCTTGTATCACTTATAAGAATGAATGAACAAAAAAATATTTGCAATGTCCATGAAGTTGTTTGTACATAAACTGTCATCGATAATAAAGATATTGTTCATTGGCTAATTATTTCAAGTGATACAATGCTTATAATGTTTACATTGAACGCCCCATGATCTATTCTGTAACTGCATCATCTTGGGAGATCGTTCCTAGAGGCGACAGTTGTCACAAACATAACACAAAAAGCACCAAACTTTAGTCCCCAAAAGCTTCAGCGACACCAGAAGAAGACTACAGACAAATTGCTCCACACTCAATTTTCACAGACGGGCACTATTCCCAACTCGAACATAAAGAGCTCAAATAAAACGGGATAGTCCTAGGCTCCCCTAGCATCAAGCCGACGTTTCAAAATCACGCCTTTCCATAATATCACAGAACACCCGCATTCACGTAATGAATTCGATCGAATTCCAACCTGAGACGCGCTCGCGGCGGTCGAGTAAGCCGCAGAGGAACGGCCAAAGTCCCGCGAATCGAAGCCGATGGCGCCGCGGAGCCTGACGGCACCGGCCGATACCGAAGCGAGAGCATTAGCCTCGCGGAGCGGCGACGGACCGGTCAACGGGTTGATGCAGCTCCCGAAACCGGAAGCGGCGCCGGCAAGCGATCGAGAGCGCGATAGGGGGGCGCCGCCGGCGGAGCGACGCGTGGGGGGCGCCGAGGCCGCGTTCGCCGCGGCCAGGGCGGCGGCCTTGGTGAGCTTCGAGGCGGTTCTCCTGGTGGCCATTTGAAGGAGCGGGAGAGGTTCCTGAACTGGGGTAGCGAAGAAGAAGACGTTTTGAAACGAGGAGGAGCAAGAAGAAGAAGAAGGAGGAGAGGAGGGTGGCGGGTGGTGATCCGGTGGTGATGCTTGGGGAGGAGGCAAGACGAAGAAGGTTGTGGAAGGAAATGGCAGCTTCTTCTCCTTCCGTTTTTTTTTTTTTGGTCCATGGATTAATATTACGAAAATCTCGAAACGATAGATTTGTGATAATTTTCAGCAAAAACCCAAAACTGATAAATAAATTTATCCTAAGTTAACAAAAATTCGATACGTTTGTGATAAATTTACACTCGGTTAGTTTCCGTGAAAGTGAATTAATATCACGAAAATCACAAATCGGTACATATGTGATCGACAGATGATAAAATCTAAAGTAATATACCTGTCAATTGTCACGTGTCATTTAATTTAGCAATTTAACGGAAACTAATGAAGAGTAAATTTGTTACATGTGTACTGATTTTGAATTGATAAAAAAAAAATTTATCATAAATAAATTAATTTGAAATTTTTCGTAATATTAACATTTTTTTTCTTTTCTTCTTCGTCTTCTTTCTTTTTCCCCTGAATTTCTCCGAACGCAGTTTCGGATTCACGAATTTCCACGTGGGCATGCACTGGTCGGGCCACTGGTCTTGCCACGTCGGAGAGGTGTGAGATTACTAACTGGGCTCATGTGCACCCGAAGCATGCGATGATATTTCTCCACCAGGAGGATTTTGCCAACTTGCTCTCCACCGTTGTCTCCTCTCTGTGTCTCCTGTGTACCTTCACGGTCTGATCTTTAGCTGACTTCCTTCCTCCCTTTGACTGTAGGAGCGCTGCAAGTGCTCTGGTTCGACTCCTGTTCGAGGCTCTTGTTGTTGACAGATAACGCGCAGGCGAAGAAGCTCTGCTCCTGGACATGTACGATGCAGTTCAGGCTGCTCTTTGTTCGATTTGCATCCATCCTATTTTTAAGTCTCGCTGTGGTTAGAAACTCTTGTGAATTGTGGCAGGGCGCCGAGGCAGCTCGGGAAACCGAAGAGGAGGAGGGACTGGGAGTCGACCTTGAGAGTGGACGACGTGCCTGGAGAAGAGGACGAGGCGTTGAGGAGGGACCGGGAGGACGATCCCGCTGCTACGGAGTACGAGGTGTTCTTGGGTTTCCGGGTTCTCGACACACGTGACGGCTTCACCGATTGCCTTTACCGTAGGCTGCGACTCGCCGGAGTCCATTTCTTCCTAGACAACGAAGAGCTCCGAGTCGGCATGGAAATCGGTGGTGGGCTTTCGAAAGCGCTCGACAAGTCCTGAATCTACGTACCCATCTTCTCCAGGAGCTACGCCACCAGTTCGTGGTGTCTCCGCGAGGTTGCACACATGGCAGAGGGCATCTCGAAATCAGATGGGAAGAAAGAGATACTTGCCATCTTCTACGATGTGAACCCTGATGACGTTAAGCTCAAAACCAAGCTGTACAAAAAGGCCATACCCAAGCACAAGAAGAAGTTCGGCTCCGATGAACTGAAGCGGTGGGAGGCTGCTCTTGTCAAGGTTGCATGTCTAAAGGGGTGGGATCTCAAAGGGAAACGGTAATTTTCCTCAACCTTTTCGTCGTCTTTAATAAACGCGATAGTTGCACTTCTCATTTGAATAAACTTTGTCTCTCCGAAGTTTAAGAATTAGAGCATTGCGACATCTTTTCATTTGAAATTTCCATTAGAAGTTAATGACAGCTAGACCTGACAGAGTAGGGCAAAAAGGGTCCACTTTGATCCAATCTATGAGCATCTTCAGCTGACTCTTACTTGAATGAACTGTACCTGTGTCTGGTCTGATTACCCGTCTGATAAGTCTAGTAAGAACTTAGCAAATGTAATCTGTTCACCATTTTTCGCCATAACCAAAACTTGTTTTACATCGATAATGAACTCAACAGTTTAAACTATCAACAATATCTGTTGTGCTTCTTTCGATTTTGCTCGAGACCCCGATTTTATTTTCGTTTTATCTCTGGATTCAACTCTATGCCAACACAATCCTATAAAATTTAGCTCAATAATACATGCATTTTGGATTTCATGTCACTGCATGTTAGGGCGTGTTTGGTAATGCTTCTGTTTCTCTATTTTTCTGTTCTTTTGTTCCCTGGAACAAAAAAAGAACAGAAATCCGTTTGGTAACGTATTTTATTTTTCTATTTCCTGGAATAGAAAAATGGCCAAGAAATAGATTTGGAGCAGAAATAAGAAGTAGAAAAAATCTACTTCTTTGTTCCTAGAAATAGAAATAGAAATAGAAATAGAAAGGTCCGGTCCTCAAGTCGCGACCTCAGCTCCTCCTCCATCCTCCGTCGTCTGCAAACCGTCTCAAAGCACCGGTCCGGTCCATTCTCGGCGGAAATAATAAAAAAATTATAAAAAAATAAAAAATTTCAAAAATTCATAAAAATCAGAAAAATTCTCAGAAAATCCATAAAAATCAGAAAACTCAAAAAACCCATAAAAATTTGCAAAATTCCGAAATTGAAAAAATTAAAAAAAATTCATAAAAAGCTTTCTAGAAAATAAAAAGAGACAAATTTCGAGAAAGTAAAAATTTTTAATAAACTTTTCCCCAAAAAAAAAACAAAAATAAAAAATTCACATAATGGCTTAGAATAAATTAAAAAATTCCGAAAATTCATAAAAATTAGAAAAATTTCAGAAAAATCCCATAAAAAATTAGAAAATTAAAAAATTCCCAAAATTCATATAAATCAGAAAAATTCTTAGAAAATCCATAAAAATCAGAAAAACTCAGAAAACCCTTAAATATTTGCAAAATTCCGAAATTGAAAAAATTAAAAAAATTTCATAAATTTTTTTTGGAAAAATAAAAAGAAACAGATTTAGGGAAAGTAAAAATTTTTAATAAATTTTACCCCAAAAAAATATATAAAAATTCACATAATGGCTTAGAATACCTGTGGCCACCCACTTTGAGTGAAATTTAAATTTTTGAGGTGCCCAAGTGGTATTTTTGAAGATTCCTTAGTTTAGGGATTAAAAGGGGTTTTAAACCCCTAAAAAGGATTAGACAAACCAATAAATCATGCTTATTGATTTTTTTCACTTATAACTTGTACTTATAGTTAAATAAAAGATATAGATTTGAATGCAAAAAATTGGGAATAGAAATTTTGTGCAATTACCAAACGCATTTCTGTTCTTTTTCTATTCTAGGAATAGAAATTTTGTGCAGTTACCAAACACATTTCTGTTCTAGAAATAGAAATTTTGTACAGGTACCAAACGCATTATTTTGCTCAGAAACTCTTCCAGGAAATAAAAATAGAAAAAACTATTTCTGAAAAGAAATTGTTCCCAGAAATAGAAACATTACCATACGCACTCTTAGTTAGCAGATCCAAGCGTTATGAAGAAATATTGCCTTCTCAAGTGTTGTGAATCTTACTCCGTCCATTCCATTGAGAATATATATCTCCTTCACATAGATCGGCTCATGCATTATCTAAAGCATCTCCAATACTATCAAATTGAGGGTCATTCCATGAAATTCCAACATACATGATCACTGGTTATAATGCCTAAATTCCATCCATAGTAACTGAGATGGTCGATTTTATTTAGCCATACGGTCCCTAGGGACCCAAAGATCATCATATCCGGAAGAAATTTATACCCTTACAAAAAATTCCTGCTTTGCTGCAGTGACGGAGAATTGATTGATTTGGTTGTTGAAGAGGTATTGTGCAAGCTTAATGCCAAAGATGTGGATGTGCCTGAATATTTGGTTGAGGATCATCGTCAGATAAAAGCCATAATAGAAAAGTTGGATGTTGACTTTGATGGTGTACGTTTCCTTGGTATTCATGGAGTGGGTGGCGTTGGTAAAACAGTACTTGCGAAGGTTGTGTTCAACAAATTATCTTCTCACTTTGACGGCATTAGTTTCCTCAACGACGTTCGAGAATCATCACAACATGGTCTTATAAACTTGCAGAAAAAGTTAATTTCAAGTTTTGTTGGTTCTATGGTTGCTGACCAAATTAAAGACATTGGTGATGGGATGAATTGGATCAAGAGAGTATGTAATACTAAGAAAGTCCTCATTGTTCTCGATGATCTAGACAAGAAAAAAACAACTCGAGAAGCTAACTGGAAAATCTGATTGGTTTGGTTCAGGAAGTAGGATCATCTTCACCACTAGAAACATAGATATCTTGATGACTCGAGTGGAATCGTCTTGTAAAGAGGTCCTAAATCAACCCGAAGGAATTTTGGCTTACGAAGTTCATCAAATGGAATTTGGTCGAGCACTTCAATTGTTTTGTAAGCACACATTCAGAAGAGACTCTCCCGTAGAAGGATATGATCATCTTGCAGAGAAAATTGTTCGGAGAGCGGGTATGCTTCCTTTGTCTATCGAGGTGATAGGTTCACCTCTTTATTGCCAAAGCATTGCCTTAGGGCAACATTTTGAGAATAGAAATTTATGGGAAGACACGTTGCAGCAGTTGGATATAGGATCCTTTTAAAGATGTCCGAGATGCACTAATGATTAGTTATGAGGGATTGGAGAATAAGCAGAATGAAGTATTTCTGGATATTGCTTGCTTTTTCACCAACGAGGACCAAACATATCCAGTTGTCATGTGGCATGACTGTGATTACCTTCCTCATTGTGCAATTGGTGTCCTCCTCCTACGGTCCTTGATAAATTTATTTCTTTATTTTGATGGACACGATACATCGCAGAATCAACAAAGCAATTATATACAGAAGAGTATGTCGTGGGAAATGCTATTCATCATCCATAATTTCAATTTCAAGGGATATTATCTCATCCATTTTCAAAGATGAAGATATCACGAAATTAATGTGCTATGAACGTGCACGGGTCCCAAGAGAAAATGATTGCCTAACAACTTATTAACCAAACCCATTTTTGTTTGTTCCTCTTATTTTACTAAAAGACTTGGAAATTCTCTAACAAACACATTAAATAATTCGTATTAATTACCAAAATACGGGACCCAATTTTGTTTTTTCCTCTCATTTTACTAAAAAAGCCAATGTTTCTGTATATCTAT